GTAAGCACAACAATTATGAAACGAGCGATTCCTCGAAACCCAACTTTTCTTAGCATATATTGAAAAGATGATCTGTCTATACAATTGCACTTCACTTTTATGCGTTTCTTAAAGAGGTACTGTCGATTTTGCTACATTTGGATGAAATAACAACGCACAAGCGACACGAAGTCAGGACTCATGATTTTCTAAACAGACAAAACGACTCGCTTTGTAGGTACAGTCGGTCTCAACTCACCATCAATGTTCCAGGGCCAATCGACAGCTGGTCAAGAGGAATCCGCCGTCGTCTTCTGGTGGAACCGAACTTCGAATCTCTTCACGCAACACTTTCACTCAAAATGGAAGTAAGCACAACATCTTTTCAATGCCCTCCGGTCTGGAACAAGCACTACTGCCCAACCACATTCTGATGCTGAATGGCTGCCGGGCGAATTCCGCTCTCCTTCCAAGTAGAGGGTTCTGTTGTGTTGGTGGCGTTCTCAAAAAGCCAGTCGACACGAAGCTGATAAGCAGATGAGTGAATTATCTCGTCGTCCATGGCAGTTGTTGTTGACGTCAACACTGGCCAGGTTGCTCTCGTCCCATCAGCCGAGGGCCGTGATGAGGTGAAGTGAAGCAAGCGACTGAATTGTCGACAGAGGCCCTAATTCTGGACGTCCGAAACCTGTTCTGTCCGTCCACTTACACACGCAGGAGGTGGGCATCCGAAGGCAGAAGTACAGATTGCCGCCATTCGACAACATGAAATGTATGAAGATGACACGCAACAGGTCGTCTCGACTCCCGTCGGGGCTGATGAAATGTAGCAAATGAGAGAGTCTCAGTTGCACGATTGCCAAGCTTCCAAGTTCGTCCGTTCGTTCGGCTCCATATTGGCTGACAGACAAATGAACTTCGAAGATCCGATCTACAAATCCGTTGAACGGATGGACTAACGAGGCTCCGGAGACAAGGAGGAGAGTGAAAATGGGCATTTTGAGGAAAGGACACTGAAGACACTACCACTGATTCGAGTGACCCCACCTTGGCCATCAAAAAGACGCCAATTTGGGGTGTATAATCTACAGCTGGCAGGTCGCCAGTCCTGCCTTTGGGGCGGAGAGAAAATCACGACTCTAACATAAAAGGTCAACAATTTGGGCCAGTTACTCTATTTATGTACGTATTTTTGTGAGGGTGCATTCTTATTTGAAGACATAAAGACCAAGATGGTGTGTGCCATTCACTATGGTCGCAGTCTCATCTCGTGAATAGGTGGGTTGACCTCGTTTTTGAAACATTGTGGCATGATTCTCCATGTCGAAGGGAGAGATGGTAGGAAGGAATTCGTGATGTGGTCTCACCGGAAGCCGAAAGAGCATTGCCGCACAGGGAAGACTGTTGAATTGTGCGAAGAGGTCCTCGACTCACTGTCCTCCGACTCCGATGCTACTGTGCTAAGTGTTCTTCTGTATCAGCATGACAGACGTCATCAGAACAGTAATACATACCTCACAAAATAGAGCAAAAAGATACTAATCCAAGAGCAAGCATGTAGAGCAAATTTGGAATAACCAACCAAATCATGGGATGCTTTATTAAGATCGCAAAGTAAAGCGTATTAAAAAGCGACTAGGGTTGCAGCCGGCCATCTTTTCTTTTGGTTTAGTACATTTTCCCTTTATTCCGTGAAGTATGGGTTCCTGTTCTAATGACGTCTGTCATGACGTTACAGATAAAAAGTTAACACAGTAGCATC